GCTCCTTGATAATTGCACCATTTGTTCCCATAACAAGTAGCTAAGCTTGAGTAGGCTGATCACCAACATGCTACTTAGGTTGAGATACATGAAAACCCGAATGGACTTTTGATATTAGGGGTACTTGTAACTTATAGGCCACTTTGCCAATTTTTCCAACACTTGAAATGGTCCAAAATACATGATAACTAGCTTAAGACAATTCCTATTATGAACCAATTATTGCCTGTAAGGTTGTAACTTCAAGTACACCCAATCTCTTTTTCTGAAATTCCCTCTCAATCCTTTTCTTAACTGCCATCATTTTCATCCTATCCTGAGTTCGTTGTAAATAAAACTTAAGCATTTTAACGGTAACTTTTCTAGCCTGTAAACTACGATCCACTGTAGCAACTTAAGATTCCCCTAACAAGTAAGGACGATGCACTGGAGGTAGATGCCCATAAACTGCTTCATACGATGAGACATTGATGGATGAATGATAGGTGGTATTATACCACCATTTAGCTAAAACCAACCATCAAAACCATTCCTTAATGTGGAAAAATTGAGAGTATATAGAAAAACTTGTTTATTGAATTATAAAAACACCATAAGTTTAAATACAGCTAACTATAAGGTAAATTAAAAAACTAAATATTCATAACTCAGATCTCTATAATTAAGGAATTGTCTATCCTTATATTCTATCTTTAATTCTAAAGATACAAATTTTTAATTTTAGGATACAAAGATATATGGATTACAATCAACAGATTATATTACAACCAATTGTAACTAAATATTTTCTCACACTCCCCCTCAAGTTGGTGAATAGGTGTTTTTCATTCGCAACTTGAAAATAATTTCCTAAAAGATTGCACTATTGAGACATTTAGTCAACACATCTGTAAGTTGACCCTTGATTGATACATATGATATGAAAATCAACCCACTATCTAGTTTTTCTTTAATGTGTTTTGTTCTGTCATATAGCACAGGATTGTGTGCAATACTTATTGCAAACTTGTTATCACAATAAAATCTCATTAGTCCATCCCATTTGATCTTCAAGTCTTCTTGGATAATCTTTAACCATAGTAGTTTACAAATTCCTTGAACTATTACTCTAAACTCTACTTCAGCACTTAACATTATCATCACATTCTATTTTTTACTCTCTCAAGTTACAAAATTACCACGTAGAAAAGTGAAATATCCTGAAGTTAATTTTCTATCAGTTACCAAACCTACATAATCAACATTTGTATATGCCTATAGTACCAACCTCGAATTTCTTTTCAATAAGATACCTTTTTTAGGATTAGCCTTCAAATAGTGTAGTACACAATAGACAGCCTATAGGTGCACTTTTTTAGGATTATGCATAAATTGACTTATCATATTTATAACATATGCTATGTCAAGTCTAATATGTAAAAGATAAATAAGTCTTTCAACTAATCTCGGATACATCTTTTTATCTAAAATAACATTTTCATTAGCTTCTTCAAGTTTATGATTAAGAGCTATAAAAGTATTTGTAGGTTTACATGCAAGCTTCCAATTTTTTTCAAAAGATTAATCACATATTTCTATTGTGAAATGAAAATATCATGCGTGAATGAGCTATTTCAATTCCTAGAAAGTACTTCAATCTTTCTAGTACTTTTATCTCAAATTCTCTGGTCAAACACTATTTTAGAGATTCTTCCTCTTTTTTATCATCTATGGTTACAATTATATCAACATATACTAACAAAACTGTGACTTTCTCTGAATCTAAGTACTTAATAAATAGTATGTGATCCCCTTGACTCTGTTTATATTCCATTGCTAGCAACACTTTGACAAATCACCTGAGCTAATCCTTAGGAGACTATTTAAGGCCATATAAAATCTTTTTCAGTTTGCATACTTTGTTGGCTTTTAGATGACCTTCAAATCTTGGTGAAAGTTTTATATATATATATATATATATATATATATTTCTTCTTCCAAATCACCATGTAAAAAAGCATTCTTTACATAAAGTTGTTGAAATTGCCAATTGTAATTTGTAGCCAAAGATAACAAAATCCTAATTGTATTCATCTTGGCAACTAAAGCAAAAGTTTCCTAATAATCAACTTCAAAAGTTTGAGTATAGCTCTTAGCCATCATCACGGTCTTATACTTTTCAACAATACCATTTACCTTATATTTTACAGTGAAAACCCATTTATACCTAACTGAATTTTTTTCTGTAAGCAACTTTACCAGTTCTCATGTCTTATTTTTTTCTAAAGACTCAATTCTATTTTCATGGCCTGCCTCCATTTCTCATTGGATGTCCCAAATAATGTAGTTGGAATAGAAATAGTATTTAAGCTCATAAGAAAATTTTAGTAGGGATAGTAAGAATTTTTCAAATAACACAAAATTAGAGATTAGGTATAGTGGATATTTAGTACATTCTTTGATTCTTTTTCTAATGGCAATAGGCATATCATAATCACTAATTTTTAGGAGATTCATGCTCGTTTTGAGAAACTAAGTCAGAAATTATAATTACCTCATTTCTAGAATTAGGATTAGGTTCTTGGATTTACGCCAATTTAGAAGCTGAAATTTTCCTTTTTAAGTACACTTGTAATTCTTTCATAAAATCAAAAATAGTAATGTATGCGATAGTGTGAACAGTTTTTCCTCAATAAGATTTGGGTACATTTGCTTGAAAAAAAAAGCTCGAGTTATTGCTAGTAAATGACTATTTTTCCTGTCATTTCATTCTGCTATAGAGTATTAACACAAGATGACTTATGGATAATTTTTTCTTTTTGAAAATAAGTAGATAAACTCTAGTTGAAATAGCCTCTTGCATTATCGACCTAAATTTTTTTATTCTCACTCTAAATTGATTTTATATCATGTTTTGAAAGTTTAAAAAAAATACTATTCACATCTAATTTGAATTTAAGTAAACAAATCCAAGAGATCTTGGTATAATCATCTATGAATGAAAAGAGTATAATCATCTATGAATGAAACAAACTATCTTGTACAAAAAATATTAAGAATTGTAGATGGACTCCAAATGTCACTATGAATCAAGTAAAAGGGAGTAAAACTTCTTTTATTACTAATTGAAAAAGACACACATCTATGCGTTGCAAGTTCACTAACATCACAATGAAAATTTTTTACATTTAATCCTTTGAACAAAAAAAGAAACATGTTTCTCAAAGTTTCAAAAGAAGGATGTCCAAGACAAAAATGATAAAGTCAAATTTTATCTTTTTTTAGAGATTTTTCAGAAAAAGAAAATGACAAAGATAAACTATTCTTAATATTACTTGCATTGTTGAATCTCTCAAGCTAGTATAGTCCATCATTTTTCTTAGCAAGTCCAATCCTCTTCCTTAAACCTTAGTTTTGAAATTCACAATAAAATGGATAAAAAGTCACATTATAGTTTATGTCTCTAGTAAATCTTGTATAAATATCATATTAGTAAATAATATAGGAACATAAAAAATATTTTTAAGAACAAATAAGGGATTAATTTGAACATTTCCTAATCATGTCACTGTAATAAATGAACCATCAATGAATCATCTACAACAACAATTTTTTATTACTAGGACATAGGGTATATGTACTAAACTTCTACGAAAAATGTATCATGTGACCTATGGCTACTAAGTCAATGCCTAAGAATTTTTAATAAACTTATCCGAGACATTTAATCTATGAGAATTAGAGACTTTACATACATTAAAGACCTTACCTAAGTGTGCCAAGAAATATACACTAGTACTCTTTTCAAGGGTTCCTAATATGCTTTTCTATTTCTTAATCTCTTTTTTGTCCAACTTTTCTTGTTCTTGAGACTTCTCCTGGTTTAACTCCATTGTAGTCATGTGAGCTTGTCCTTGATTTCTTGGCTATCCTCCTTTATAACCCCATTCTTTGCTTGAAGTTGAAGGTTTTCCATTTAGTTTTCAACAACGATCTTTGGTATGCCTTAGCTTCTTGCAATAGGTGCACTAAATATTGTCACAATTTGACGTTTTAGCCAAATCACCTTTCCCTTTCTTACTGACTAAAATTGTTCTAAGTTTTGGTTCTTTCCACTATTAGAGACCATAACAGATCTTTCTACATACAGACTATCAAGCATCACTCTTCTTTTGCTCTCTTTTGTTCTAACCATAGCGATCAACTCATTTAAATAAAGCAAATCCTCTTTTCTCATAATTTTGACTTTGACTTGATCAAACTCAACATTAAGTCCAGCAAGAAAATCATAGTCAATCTTTTTCAATAAATTTTTTCAAAGTTGATGCATCTTTATTGCACTTCATTTCTATGCACCGATAGTGGTCTATCTTCTACCAAAGATTTTTTTTAAGAATAATATACTTTGTGACTGATATATTCCCTTGTTTAAGAGCTACAATCTTGATCTTTATCTTATAGACTTAAGCGACATCCTTAGCCTTGGAATAGGTTTGCCAAATTGATTCCCAAATATTTTTGGCCGTGGATAAAAAAATACAGGTGTCACTAATATCTGGTGCCATAGAATTCCACAGCCATGACATAACCATGGAATCTTCTTAATCCTAAGCCTCAAATTTTGGATCTCCTCTCTTAAGACCAGTACCAAGAAGATGGCTCAATTTTTCTTTCCCTTTTAAAAAGGTTTGAATCAATTGAGACCACTTCAAGTAGTTTTTTCCATTTAATACGTATATAGCTTGGATATTTTATAGTTTTCCTATGGTTTGACCAGTTGTCACTTCCTCAAATTAAGTAATAACGACATATTCTGCTATTTCTGACATGATTATCTTTCTCAAGATTGAAATAAGTCTAGGCAATAAAGGCTAAAAAGAAAAAATAATAGTATGAAAAACTTAACAAAATTTGGCTATAAAGGCCTAAAATAAAATTCAACAATAAAAGTTGAAACCTTTTTTTTTCAAAAAGAGCCTAAAGGTCTAATACCATATGAAAAATTGAGAGTATATAACTTATCTGTTGAATTATACAAACACCATAGTTTTAAATACAACTAATTAAAGGGTAAACTAAAAAATTAAATATTCCTAAATCTTATCTCTATAATTAAGAGATTGTCTATCCTGATATTCTACCTTTAATTCTAAAAATACAAATTCTCAATTTTAAGGGAACAAATATATACAAATTATAATCAACAGATTACAATAAGCTACATAGATTACAACCGATGAAACTAAATGTTTTCCTACACTTAGGCTTTTCACCAGTCATGCATCTTAAATAGGTTCCCAAACACCTACCTCAGTCTGTCCATCTTTTTGTAGGTGGTAAGCTATTGAAAACTTCAAAGAAGTTCCAAACCTGTTGAATAGTTCCTCTTAAAAAGTGCTCATAAAAACCTCGTCCCTATCAAAGATTATGCTGCTAAGCAACCCATGAAGTTTAAAGACATTGTCCATAAAGATCTGAGCCACTGTTATGCAGTATACGAATAAGCCAAAGTAAGGATGTGTGTATATTTACTTTAGCGATCCACCACCAATAGGATAATATCCTTCCCACCAGACTTTGGAAAACCCTTAATGAAGTCCATATAATATCAATCTAAATTCTATCAGAGATTGGTAAAGGCTGTAACAACCCTAGACTTGCACTATTATCATATTTGTTTTGTTGGCAAACAATAGACTCCCTAACCATCTTTCTAACTTCTTTTCTCATTATTTTCCAATACAATATACTAGAAATCCAATTACTGGTTGCTTATGCCCCAGAATGCCCACTAGAAGGATTGCTATGAAAAAATGCTAATAATTCTTGCTTCAGTTTAAGAACATTACCAACCACTAGTTTCTTTTTCCTCTTCAACTAATCTCCATACCAAGTGTACTTAGAATTCTGTCTCAAATCATTATGCAACTCCTGAATAATTTTTTGTAGCCTTGCATCCGACTTTTTTAAATCTTGGATCTTTTACAACACATTCGTACTCATTATTGAAATGGCTAACAATTGTGCCACATGCATTGCAGGGTTTCTGGATAGAACATCTACAGCTGTGTTTAAAGACCTTTTTTCCTATAAGAGACTTCATAATCATAGCCCATCATTTTTGTAAGTAAAAGTAGCAACCTGTTGATGCAAAAATAATTTTAAACTTTAATGGTCTGTCTTGATTTTGAAGTGTCTGCCAGCTAGATAAGGGCTTTACCTTTTAATTACGAATAAAAATACCATCATCTCTTATCATAAATAGATAAAACATGGTGTATTAGTGCAAATGTCACAAGCCAAGACTTAAGCTCCAGGCTGGTGTAACTTCAAAACCCGGATTGTTATCCCAAATCAATCTAACTGTCATGATTTACACCAACTTATGAGGTATTGTCTACTTCGACACTTTTGACCTTATGATTTTGTCCCACAAAATGCACCTAAGTTGAAGGTGGTGTAAACCCTTATATCAACTCTAGTACACAATCGATGTGAGATTCATGACTCCTTTATAAGATCGTAACATCCTTATCCACTCCAACGAAAGCCCATCATCCTTGGTGGCACATCACTAATACCCCTAAAGCTGGCTTTGATATCACTTGTCACAGGTCGAAACTTAAGCTTTAGGTCATGCAACTCCAAAATCGAAATATGAACTCATTCAACATCTCAAATCAACCTATCACGATTCACACCAATTTGTAAGGTATTATTCGCTTCAACACCCTTGACCTCATGATTTTTTTCATAAAAAGTACCTTACAAGTTAAAGGTGGTATGATTCCTTATATCTCATAACCAACTCTAGTACACAATTGATGTAGGATTTATGACTCTTCTCTAGAATCGTGACACAAAAATTTTGTTAAAATAAGCTAAGGTTTTTTTGTTTTGAGTCAATATAGCACCAATCCAATTCCAGATGCATGTCTCCACTGTAAATTTTGTCAAAAAATTAGGTAAAGTTAAGACTAATACTGAAGTTATGACCTCTTTGGATTGATTCCAAGCATGAATTATAATTTCAATCCATCTCTAAGCATCTTTTTTAAGCAGATTATTTAACTATTTAGCAATCAACCCTTATCCTTTGATGAACCTTCTATAATACCCTCTGAGTCTCAAAAATGCCCTGAGTTCTTTCACAGATCGTGGCATTGGCCAGTCTAAAATACATTAGACCTTACTTTGATCTACAATAATGCCCTTACCACTAATTACATGGCCTAAGTAATCTATCTCCATAGCCTTAAACTAGCATTTACTTTTTTCAACAAAGAGCTGGTTTGCCTTAAGAACTTTAAATACTTGTTTCAAATGAACTAAATAAGTCTCCAGTCAAAAGAATACACCAATATGTCATAAAAAAAAAAAAACAAAAACAAACTTTCTCGACTAACACTTAAAAAGTGAGTTCATTAATCCATAAAAAGTAAAAAGAGCATTGGTGAGTGCAAAAAGCATTACCAAAAATTCATAATGCCCTTAATGTGTTCTGAAAGCTGTTTTGTGAACATTTCTTTCAAACATCCAAATCCAATGGTATCTAAATCGTAGGTCTAGCTTGGAAAAACAATTAACATGCACCAACTCATCCAACAATTCTTCCACCAAATGAATAAGGAACTTGTCCTTGATGGTGAGCTAATTTAACTACCTATAATCCACACATAACCTCCAAAAACCATCTTTTTTTCACCATTACAATGGGAGATGCAAAAGAGCTGTTACTATTTCTAATAATACCACTATCTAGCATTTCTTTCACCATTCTTTCAATTTTATCCTTTCGAATGGCAGGGTATCTATATAGCCTCATCTTCACAACTTGAGTTTCATACTTCAAGGTAATTCTATGATCATGAAGCCTTTTGGGAGGTAACCCTTAAGGTAGTTCAAAAAGTTTTATATATTCCAATAATAGCTTCTTTAATGCCAATTTGATGGAAGAATTCTCAGTTTCCTCTAAAACTAAAATAGATAACTGAGTTTATAAGCTATTTGTCATCATATAAGCACAAGGATGGTGTCTAGCTTCATTCATCAAAGATGGTAGTATTTTCAAAGAATGTTTCTCCTTCATGATCTAAATTAACCTAGGTTGCAAGCCTAGTATTACATGTCTCTTAGAATTATACAAGAACTGCATAGTTAATTCATGAAAATCCCATATTACTAGCCCCAAGGTTATAAGCCATTGCACCCCCAACACAATGTCATATCTTTTTAGATGTAATACCATGAAATCAATCAAAAAATTGGCTCTCTGCACCAATCATCGGACCCTTTTACAAAGTCTAGTTGTGTATAAGCTACCTCCATTTGCTATAGCAACAGGCAATTTACAACCTTGCTAAACTGATAGGTCTAGCAACTTGACAATAGATGAATCAATAAAATTATGAGTACTACCCAAGTCAATCAATGCAACAAATGGGCATTTATGAATCAAAGCACTCACCCTCATAGTCTGGTAACCATTTATGCCTAACATGGCATGTAAAGAAATCACTATGAAGGGTTCTCAGTTTCATATGATAATAAAAGTTTAATAATGGCAGTATTTTCATTATTCTATGTTAAACTCTAACTCCTCTTCTTCACAACCTTCCAACAACATTTAGTAGAGTTGTGACTTCACACATTTGTGCTCAAGTGAGTACTTATCTCCACACCAAATGCTATATCCCTTTTTCCTCCTACCCTTGATTTCTGCTGGTGAAAGCTTCCTAGTGTTGGGTTTTAAAGGTTTTGGTTGGGTGAAAGTAGTGTGGTGGGGTTTTGGGGCATGGTAAAGAGCTTTAGTGTTCTATGTAGGTATGTTATGATTGGGTGGTATTATAATTGGTAGTAGAGGGGGTATGCTATTGCATTTAAACATAGAGCTGGGTATATTAGTAGATGTGATGTGTTTGAAAGCAATAAAGGGTTTCTTTAGGGTAGGATGTATAATGGATTCAATTTGTTAAGCTAGGTAAAGGGCTTGATTCAACATCTTTGGTTTAAACAGCTTAAAGGTCTGGCCAATTTCAAGTTTCAAGTTACTAATGACAATACTCAAAGCATAGATATCAGATAGTTGCAGTAAATTTAGAACCCCAATAAAATCATCATGAAACTATTCAACACTACCACTTTGTCTTAATTCTACCAACTCTGCCATAGGATCCTCAAATTTACCAGCAATGAACCTATCTTGCATTTCAAAAATGTAAGCATCCCGTTTAATTTATCAAGACCCCCCTACACCTTAGCATATTGCTGGTGCCATTGTCAGGCTTTCTCCTCAAGGCTCAACATAGCAACTCTTACTTTAGAACCTTTAGGAACCCCCTCACCTTCAAAATACGGCTCGACTTTCATGAGCCAACCTTTAAAATCATCTCCATTGAACTTTGGACACTCAAGTTTAAAGGATCTATAAAAGTTAGGGTAGTGAGTTGTTACCATCGTTGAAGATCCAGCTGGGGAAGATTCCTGACCCCTCAGAGATTGGCTACCCTGCTTGTCAATGGTTGGACTTCCTTCATGAGCAGATATACGATCCAAAAGTTTCCGAAACTCAGCTCTCATTTCATCAAACCTCATGTCCATAGTTTTGTTTACCCGCTCCACCTCTGCCTGTAACTGATTGACCTCCTTTTGGAGTCTAGTGTTGATGCCTTCTGTCATTGAGCCAGAAACGAAGGCTTTGATACCAAATGATGCTGCACAAATCAAGAAAAGAGCAATTCCAAAGAGAAGTGCAAAACAATATTAGAGAAGAAAGAAGAAAAAGAAGAAGACGCAAGAGAGGAAGAGTCACGTCTGTCTTAACCGTTTCATTCATTACCTCTCAACATATATTTCCTCCCCTTAGAATCTCGAAAATTCCCCACCACCTTCTAGAAGGCAAACTGTAAAAGTAAATAACAGAAATTAACAGATTGAAAAATGATAACATTTAATGGGCTGACTCTGATGGCTGACTCTAGCAGACTTGTTCGGCTTCGTGAATCCAAATTAAGCCTGCATCATCTTACAATCTGCAGCATCAATTTCACGCCTCCCTATATTTTCTTGACAAGAAAACAAATCCAACCAGAAAGAAAATACCAAACATTATTACCAATAGATACATAAATAACCTTCTTAAAGCTAAGGTTTTGTTTGGTTGTTATTTTTACTTCCATTTTTAATTCTTCAAAAATGTAGATAACCTTCTTGAATATACATTCATGTGATTTTTGCTTTTTATGAAAACACCGTCTCAGTAAAAATGCAGAAACATAAAGATTCATAATTCAATCGATTACGATTCCAATTTCCTCACAATTTCTCAGTAACAAAACATTAAATCAAAGAGAAAAAAAAAAAGAAAAGAAATTGGATTATCCAAATGAATAACTTACAGGGGGACTTGTATAAGCTTTGAAAGCAAAACCAACAAGAATAACTGCAAGATTAATATCAAAAGGAGGTAGTTCTTCTTCTTTTACTTCCAATGAAACCCTTTCAATCGAAGCATTCGTTTTAGAAAAACAAGAAATTGATAACACTCTGTCTCTTCCTCTAATATTCACATTTCCTCTCGAAGTAGTCAAAACCCTAATTTTTTTCCTCGTCGATAGAGAGTGATTGCTGCAAATTTGAGTATGACTTATTCTTGTTAGCAGAGGAATCGCTGCCTTACACAACTAGAGGAATCAAAGTTTCAGCGAAGATCGAAGAAATTTCTTATTTGCAGCAGAGGAAATCGAAACAGAGGAAAAGTGATTTGATAGTGTTGATGGAAAGTGGTGAGAGTGAGGGAGATTAAGTGTCAATTTGAATTTCCCCGCACATTTGGTAAGGTATGATTAAATTCGTTGTATTATTAATTAAATTTAAATATTAATTTTAATAAAATTTATTTAACATAAATTTTTTATTAAATTTTTTTAATTGTAATTATAATAAATTTTTAATTATAATTATAATAATTTTTTTTTTTAATTTTATTGTAATTAATTTTATTATTTATTTAAAAATTTTAAAAATAAAAAATATAAAGTTATCTTAAAACGTTAAGCTATCGTGGCAGTTTCATTAATTTAATAAAATAAAAATAAAAAATTACTTGCACTTTTATGAATTCTCAAAATTTTAGTGTCATTAAAATTAAAAATTTTTGTAATATTTTATTAATTTCATTCTAAAATTTATTTTTATATTCTCAAATTTCATTTATTTAATATAAATGCAAACTATACGATTTCAAAACTTTGCAATTTATAAAAGACACTTAAAACACCTTGAAAAAACATATATTTTGATAACATATACAACGATTTTACTCTCAAATAAAGATAATTCTTTAAACAAGATGCTTTACAACGCATGAGGACCATAATGTCGGTGATAATTGAAAACTTATTGTGAACATTCCCTGTAACGGATTGCGAAAATGGTATCTTAAAAAAACAACATGCACGTCCCCTACTTACCATTGGTCAAAGTGAAATTAATAATTAACCCGAAAACTTTTCCATTTCGTAAAGAAAGGTCATATGAACAAATAGAAATCGCAGCCAGTGCAACCCCACTTTGTTTTTACTTTGTAGCACTAAACGACAAGAAGTTGCTATCTTTCATGATTTTCTAGCTTTTTCCAGTACTTTACTGCCTGTTCTGCCAGAGAAACCGCACGCATAAATCAAACAAAGATCCATTGGAAAATAGGTTGATCTGGAAGAATAAAAACTTTTAATGCCTCGTTGAATTTCTTTTTTTAGGTGGAGTTTTGGTAATGAGTCGTACCCAAAATTTTAAATAACACTCAACTTTAAGCTAGTTAAATGCTTTTCATTGGGTCTTAAGTTCAAGTAGTAAAAAGTGTTAAATTGAAAGGCTAAATGTGTAAATTAATTTTAAATTTATGTAACTTTTTATTATTTTTTATGTTTATAAAAAGAAATTCACTACTTAATATCTTAATTTTACTTTGATAAGTATTTTACATAATTTATTAATGATGTTAAATAAAATATTAATTAATAAAAATATATCATGAATTAATTTCTTGTTATGTTAATATATTATTAATGAAATTGATTTCAAAGCCAATGATATGAGAAAATAAAAATCTATGATATAAGTTAAAGATCAAGTTACTTGATAACCCAAATTAAAATCTCTCTTCCTCTTTCAAACAAAAAAGAAAAGTAAATTGCTAATAATAACGCATGTGACTCCGTACGTAAGGCATGGTCCAAACAACTTTAAGGTACAACAAAAATCATTCCCCTGGTAAAAATAAACTGCTACGTCACATCACATGTTTCAAAACCAAAATGTACCAAAAGAAAAATGAAGCATCATCATTATGCCATCCCTTAGGAAATTTTATTTCATAGTCTTGATGACTTAATTAAGTAGTACACTTGATATGTTAACAAACCCTAGGCATTGAAGTGATTAAAATTAAGAACAAGGAGGCATATACGAGGGTGGTGGACGCATGCTTGTTTCGTTGGTGCCTCCATCCTTCACTATGACAACAGTGCTCATTCCCCAAGTCGTGTGTCGCTCGAAATGGCAGTGCATAAACCAAACCCCTGATTCAAAAGTAAAACAAATATGAACATTGGGTAATTTGTGCATAAATAAAATATGTTATGTATGTAATTACGATGTATATGTACCAGGATTATCAGCTTTGAATCTAATAGCAGTCCATCCTTTTCTGGGGACTGCAACGGTGTTGACCTCCGGTGGATCAACCAAATTAAACCTGCCAGGATCAGTGCCATTGTCAAAATCCGCGGAACCTGTTCCGACCAAATAAAAACTGTATCCATGAAGATGCATGGGATGATTCTGTGTGGCTCCGATATTTGTCCCTTGGAATACAATTTCCACTTCGTCACCATAATTAAGTGTTATCACCTGCGTTCCTTCGCTTGTATATGCAGACATGTTGGCCACTGTTGTGTAGTTAAAAGGAGTAGGCGGCTTGTTCGGGAACTCATCAGTAATATGGCTCACATTATAGTTATTGTCATAATATTCTTGTAGCAGAGAGGTTGATGGCATCACAAAGCTGTTGTTGTTTAAGCTTGCTGCCAGCTTGTTGTTGCCATCAACTGTGCAACCTGTAGAATTGGGGCAAGCGAATAGATTGACTGATACTGTCATGAAGATTTGTTTAGTGATGTTTTTGGGGACATTGATTGGGTGAGCTGCATCTGCTAAACTCTTCAACCGAACAACGAAGAGTTGTGCAGATATTGAGTCACTAATATTAGGAAATGTTGGAACAGGAATTGAGGTTGGAGTTGTATAATTTCCACTATATTTGATAAGTGCCCTAGAGGTGGTGTTGTCATAAGAAGAATCGGTATCAAGAAAAGGAGTAAGAACCATGTAGTAGTAACTTGCTGCTTGGTTTGCAGTAACCAAAACGTCCATGGTTTGGCCAGGGGTGATGAACAAATAATCTGTAGAAAAGGGTTTGACATATGCTCCATCCGACCCAACAACGGTCATGTTGTGGTTCGCAATCGCGAAGAACATTTCTTCATTCAGGATTGAGTTGACGATGCGGAGGAGATAAGTCTTGCCAGTCTCAACCAGCAAACTGTACATTGTTTCTGCAACCACATGTGAATCATATTGGCATCAAGTTGAACGTTAGGTAGAGGCTTTATAAACTTGAATTAACTTCTACAAGTCAAAATCTTGATGGGACAAAGCACGTAGTTACAATTATGAATATAGCTTTGACCAAAATTGCTACCCACGACAAAAGTCTTAGAATTAGGTAATTGGAGTCCACATCTCCAGAATTGTGGATTTAAAAAGTATCTTAACCACAACACATAAACCTGTTTACAGTAAGTTGATTTTTCTTTAGTCAAATGCATTAGAGTGTCATTGCCTACGACCCATTGGCTTGGCAATAACCTGCCAGTTGTGGAAGGTACAGTCTACAGAGTTCTAGGATCAAGTATTTTCTTTTTATAAGAGAGACAGAAATAAAAATATATATTACTAGAATCTAAATTTCAGACATATTAGATGTCGCATCTTATTTCAATAAGACTAAACTGAGTTTAAATCTCTGGATTCTACCAAATATCTCTTTGTTTCTCCCGTAATTCACCAGAATAGTTTCATGTTTAAAGTTATACTAATATTGATCGGTGAGGACTCAAAAACATAGATAACCCTGAAAAGAATTTAATCAAATTATGGATATAAGAAAGAAAAATGTATGATTAATTCTCCATCTTTCGATTCTTTTGATTTATATACCATTAGAGCAGTCGTACAAGTCTCCAGGTTCACCGTTGATGGTGTAAGCATCTGAAACGTTTGGATCACCGCCACTTGCGACAGCTTCGTCTAACACATCCATCACATCTGATTTGTACCATGAGGCTGCCACCAAGAAAAAGTTGTTGATTTAACAGTTTTTAAAACACACCAAAGCTGTCAAAAACAGAATTAATAGGGAGAAAACTTTTCATTTGAACTTATCAGCATGCTTTGAATCATTTCACGCTGATAATCAGAGTTCACCTACAGAATACAATTGTTTGGTCTCCATCAGGCTTATCGAACGGATAACTGGTTCCGTTAGCCGGAAAAACTTTGATGGCACCATGAACCGTAGCACGCGACCAGTCACTATGGGCATGCCACCAGAGTGTTCCTTCCTCCGTAGACAAATTGATCTCCTGTGTGAAATTTCCTCCGGACTTAATTGGGCATTGTGTAATGTACTCCGGACCATCTGACCATGGATTCCTCGGCTGTCTAACTCCATGCCTGCAAGTATCAAAATTTTCTTAATCTGGTATGATTCTTTTTTCTGTTTTTTAATTTTAACACCATCAGTTTTCCTGGAAAACTAATCTTCAAGAGATTGTTTGAGAGAAAAAATCAATATACCAATGAATAGAGATACCATATGGCCCGTCATTCTGGACAGTGACAAAAACGGTATCACCTTT